CAAATTGCGAATCTAAACCATTCCCAGATCCCCTTGAACACACACAAAAAATTTCATCAAAATCGGTCCAGTCGTTTGAGAGAAGTTCAGTGACATACACACTCACAGAAGAATTATATATATAAAGATAAATGATTCAATTTACTCTATGCAGCTCATTATGGCGGTGCGTGTGAAACGCGAATGAGAGCTGTTTATTGGTGTTCCCATTTACTAATAAATGATGAATCACACTCTCGGTATATTAGTGCCTAGGGAGCATCAGTCTTTTACACTTACTGACTATTGTTATTATTAAATTAAGGCGCTCTCTACGAAGGTATAGTTTAATATACGAATTTAGTTACTAGATTTGTCATAAAAAGGTTGTAAGTAGTCAAACACGTGATTTTAAAATAGTAAAAGATTACCGTATATTGCATATAATTTTTGCACTGAAAACTTTTGGAAAAGGTATCTAAGTTTTTTTTTGACATCTAGTGTTATACTAACATTTCTCAGAACCTGTATCTTGTTAGTATGAAGATGTACCAACTACATATATCTACAACTAAAAGACTTGGTGAAGCGATGGCGGATAATTACTTAATAAATAAGGTTTCCAATATAAAATTGACAGTAAAATATTGATGAACATATTTCATGTAAATAATTCAGGGAAAATAATTTAAGCCTCATTACTCACAATATTTTCGGAAATGCGCAGCTCACATATGTTCTCTTTCTCTTAAATTTAATTATTTTGTTTAAATATATATATATATATATATATATATATATATATATATATCGATAGATATTTAAAACTAATACAGTTATATAATATTTATATAATAATGTACTATGTCATGGTATCGATCATGGCAATCGAACTTATTACCTGTTATAAATGTGAAAGTTTGTACGCGTGTTGTACTTATTAAGTTACACATTTTAGTATTGAAAAAAGATCAGGACGTGGATGCTAACTTTTGAATATAATTTTGCCTTTTTTAAAGTCGATAAATAATTATTATAAATACGAAAGAAAATTCCATTTCTACGATTTAATACCAAGTATTGTTTATAATAGATTGTCGATCGATATGATATGTTTGAGTACTTGAGTAGCACTGTTTGTAATGAGGATGGAAACGGGTTCAATTCTAGCAAGGGATTAGTGTTTGTGTTGACGATACAAATGCTTTTTCTTGTTTGTTTGTGACGCGGTCGAAACGGAATATTATTATATTATACATAATATAGGATCTCCATATGAGCGATATACAATATACAAACATATAAAACGACATAATATACAACTTACATATTCATCACTACATATTATAAATTAATATCTCCCGCCGCGCTGAATTTGTTTGTTCGGGCTAATCTCATATTACGGATTTTCATATTGTTTATTTTCACTAAAAGAAAAAGAAATTTTCTAGGAAGGCTAATAAAATATTTATGAATATTTAGCGAAAATACAGCTTACCTGTGAATTAAGTCGGAAAAAATCGTCCCTACTGACAGCTTCTGTATATATGAGAAGGGCTTATAGGGTCCATAAATGAAAAGGGCTAATAGGGTCTCTAATATATTATAATAGTATTTGAATAGCTCATTCTCCATTATCATTTAGATAAAACCCAAGTAAGCACATTTCTTTTTTGACTTTTTCGCATATGCAGTCATTAAATATAGCGTAGGGTACCTGAAGCCACGCTTTTATAGTTTGTCGTAAGACGACGAAACGAGAATTTTATGAGAAAATTTTGGACGGGTTTCATTTCACTAAAAAGCTTTCTTTATTTCGTAGCTTTCAGACTTCGTTTTCTTAAAGTAATATATGACTAGAAGTACTTTTCCTCATCTCTTATAAGTAGTTAGTTATGATATAGCTTTTTCTCTATGTGAAAAATACATCGATTTGCATAAGTACTACTGTAGGGCGTGGCTAATTTTAGATTAAGCGTAACTTTAAAGATACATTATATCAAAATTAGTATAATCAATACTAATATTATAAATGTGAAAGTGTGTTTGTGTGTTTGTTTGTTTGTTTGTTTGTTTGTTTGCTTGCCTTTCTTTCACGTCGAAACGGAATGACGGATATAATTGCAGGGCTGGATAGTGACATAGGCTACTTTTTACCGTGGGAAATTATCTAATTCATACGTGAAAACACGTTATAATACAATCTAAAGAAAAATATTTATATCAAAATTACTTGAAATTTGGTATTAATGCTCTTATAAAATTAAATAAATATATGTTTTAGCATTTTTCGAAATTCATCCTACAAGGGGAAAAAATAGGGGATAAAAGTTTGTATGAATCTACCCGTTTAAAGATTTTTTGTAGTTTTAGCGCTAGCGAAGCCGCGGGTTTTGCTAGTATTACATAATTTGTAGAATATTTCGACTGCTTATGGTAATTTAAACGTAATAAAATCTCAATGTCGTAAGAAAGAAACTGTAAACGCGCTTACTATGAATCATAAATAACTTTCCATATTGTATAGTACAGTAATTTAAGTCCAGAGACGGCCACTCTCAATATTGGATGAAGACAAAGCGGTACATTACACGAATTGACTCACATTTCCAGTTGGACATAAGAACAATAAGCATAATGGTTTATAATTTTCCTTTGTAATGTTACGATGTTGTATGAGTTTTAAGTTCGGAAATTAAAGTATGGTTTTTGCACTACAGATGTTTTATTGCTTTTGTCTGGACGACACGTTTGGCTCAGTTTGTAGTGATCCTAGTTGTTGTGCTAGCGGTCGCGGGTTCGAGTCCCGCTGGGGACATTCATTTGTGTGACGAGCACGAATGTTTGTACTCCAGTCATGGGTGTTTATATTTATAATATATGTATTTAAAAGTTACATATATATGTGTAGTGTATCGACTATCCAGTATTTATAACACAAGCCTCGTAGCTTACCGTGGAACTAGATGGCGCTGTATGTTAATGTCCAACATATTTATATATATATTTGTTTCACAAGAGTCTCTTCTGGCGGTTCACGAACACACGTAGCACATGCATAATTTTGGCTTAACTCCGTCACTTACACCACTAAATACACTTTCTCTGTGACTTCACTTCGCTCTTCACTTTTTCGTATTTCTTCTTAATCTCCTCTTAGCTCTGAAATTCAACTAAACTCTTGGCACAAAACCGTCTTTTTTAAATGCAAATAATAAACGAAAAACATTCTTATATTCGAAATTTTGAATCTTTTCTAGTAATTTCAATTCCTTGCTGGAAAATGTTTTGCTCCCCTCTTACTCATCGGCAATTTACGACTAACTGTTCTTGTTCTTAATGGTCATACGTTGACAACTGTCATAGGATGTGTCAAGCATGCTTCAGACGTGCCATTTTTAATTATAATTTTGTTGTAAAGATATTACACACTCTCCACTATGTGACAGTAAGCTTAACTTAGAGAAAAATGTGATTTCTCGATCGGTTGTTCAAAGGATAATTCAATGATAATTCAAATGATATATAATTACCGAACTGTTCTTATAGCACATAAGCTACTGTAAGCTACCTAAGGGCGCGTCCAAACGAAAATACGTTCCTAAATTATTCAAGTCTACGGACGAGTGTAGCGAGGGTAACTCGCGAGTAACAAAGTCGAATAGGTCACCTATCGAATAATATAAATAGGTTTCATGGCCCACATTTATTAATAAATATTTTAAAAATGTAAGACTGTTTTCGATATAGGAGTATCAGTATTAAGATTCTTTTAATTACGAAGCCCTCGTGATAGTGATTTTCAGAATAATCGCTTTCATAAAGTTCGATTAAAAAGAATATATTTTTTTTATTATAAAGATTCTATTTATAAAGTGATAGTATATCTATTCATTAAGAGCGATTTAAGTAAACATACATTTTAATTTTTATTGGTAGGAACTAGGACTAGGCAAGTTTCCGAGATGGAGTTTTTTCTTCATTAAAAAAAATAATAACAGACATACATAAACATTGTTCCTTTAATATACATATTTTCACTAGATTAGTGGCCATCTAGATTATGATTATATCGAATTTATTTACAATTTATGATAATAATTTTTTTAATATATATTTTTGCTTGCGAATATTTTCATTAAGATATGAGAAAGAAGTTATGTCTTGAAGAAAGACCAATATGCAATGTAGTGGCTGTTTACCGACAAAGGGGGTAAGTATTAGTAATAGTAAACATTATAAATAAAATATGCCAATTTTTTTTTAAGGTAAACGGTTTTATTGAAAAGAAAGATAATAATGATGTAGATAATTTCTAAAAGTTAAAAGATAATTAGATATGTCCTAGGTACCAGTCATCACACCACTCTCCTCATCAATCTAGGGCATTGATCAGAGTTAAAAATAAAATCGTGGGGCATTGCACATTTACTCAAGTTACGCTACGCCCTAATTTTTTTTGAAAATATGTATGTGTACCGAACTTAAAAAAATAGACACTGTATTATAAATAACTAGCATTGCCCGCGGCTCCGCCCGCGTTCAGATGACTAACATTGCAGTCTTTATATTTTTTCTCTGAAATAAAACATTTTCCCGCGGCAAAAAGCATACTATACGTTGACCCGGATAACCAGCTATCACCATACCAAATTTCATCAAAATCCCTCTAGTGGTTTTTCTGTGATGCGGTAACAGACAGACAGATAGACCAAAATTCTAAAAACTATGGATTTGGCCTGTATCGATAATAATGTCTATTTCAATAAGATTTTCCAAAAAATATTTAATGTACAGATTCGACACAGTTAGAATTTTATTATATATATAGATATATAATGCTTTATTGCACTATTTAATAATTAGTGGTAACATAGTTCAATTTTAATGATTTCAAATGAAAATTATAATATGAAAACGACGGAAACGTGTGATTAAAGTTAGATACAAAATAATTCTTATAATGTGTAGGTTTAATTATACACATAAAAAACTATTCATGAATTAAATTTGATGCAAACATGACAACAGGCAGATTGAACATAATATTTTCATTTGGCAGAAATTATTTGCAACGCTTGGAGCAATTCGAGAAAGCTATTTTGGCGTACAACGAAGCTTTGCGGTGGAATGTGAGTAATGAATATTTTGTAAATGATATAAATTTTGTTTTGCATGTTTATTATACTAGTTATACTAGATAAGCGATGTTGATTTATCGTGCTCTATTTATTATGATTTACTGTGTGTAGAGCATTTGTTATATATATGGACCATTATACTATCTCAGCATTACAAATTGTTATAAGCGCTAATATACATATGTATGTCTAAGCCATAACTTTCATGAAATAGACCTATATAATAAATAATAATAAAAAATATGTTAGGACATTAACACACAACACCATCTAGTTCCATGGTAAGCTACGAGGCTTGTGTTATGGATACCAGATAGCTGATACATTATACATATATAACTCTAAATACATACATATTATAAATATAAACACCCATGACTGGAGTTCAAACATTCGTGCTCATGACACAAATGAAGGTCCCCAGCGGGACTCGAATCCGCGACCGCTAGCGCAGCAAGTAGGGTCACTACAAACTGAGCCAAACGTGTCGTCAAATATATAGAACACAAATAATGATAGTATACGGAAAAAATATTATTTAAGTTAAAAAATGCATTAAGCCATACACCGGTTATGCCAAAGAAATGTACAGACATGAATGTGATGATGATGATGTCCTCCCGATGGATTTCGGCCTTCGGATCTCACTGAGACTAGCCAACTGCGCTGGAGACATTATAGTGCATTAGTGTATGAGTATACATAGCTGCAATCTCTATTCCTGTTACTCTCAAATTCTGATGGGACGATAATTCGACACGATGGGTGAGAGAGCTGGCGGCTTTACGTGCTCTCCGAGGTCACCAATTTCCCAGCCCCAGGACTGAATAACTAAACTCGGACTGACCCGGGACTCGAACCTAGGACATCCGGATAATTAGCAATACATGCTAGCTACTACACCACCGAGGCAGTTACGTATGTACATATTATGTATTTACAATATTACTAACTTCTATGATAGTCAGTAAAAAATAATAATAAGCTAAGCCGTTATGATACGTAGCTTTTGTATTAAAATTATTCGTTATAATAGAATTTTAAACTATCTTGTTTGAATGAAACTTGCTCGTAGAACTCCGACGTACGTTCTCTCCTCGGAAGAAGTTTGGCCCGTGCTAAGGCAACACACTATGCTGGTGCTTTAGCAGATGCCGCTCGCGCTGCTGGTACGAATTATAAAGTATAATCACATCATATTTCGAACTTTATCTTGTAAAATTTGTTCATTACTTACGTAGATATGTATATGTAGAGCTTTTGGGGTAGTGGGTAAAATTAAATAAAAAAATAATATATTTCTGTCTACACTATGATTATTTGATATCTATACTAAGTTATATTATAAATTTGAAAGTTTGTGAGTATGGATGTATGGATACTTGTTACTCTTTCACGCCAGAACGGCTTAACGGATCTGGATGCAATTTGGCACAGAGATAGATTATAGTCTGAAGTAACTTTTTGTGTCGAAAAAATGTACGTGGGATAGGTTTATTTTTGTTTTCTTAGAGGTAAGCCCGAGTGAAGCAAGGATGAGCCGTTAGTCTTTGATAAAGGTTTTTCTTTCAGAACTAGAACCAGAAAATGTAACAGCTTTACAAATAAAAGCACAAACCGAGTATGAGAAATGCGCATTTGAAAAGGCCTTGGTGTTGGCATGTCGAGGACAACGGCTGAGGCGGTTTCCGCCTAATTTTGGTGACTGTGCCAGAAGTGCTGAAGAAACGGTATTTCTACCCTTGTACATAGTGTTGTAATCTTTACTCTAGGTATATTTAGGTACAATGTTATCCTAACTATTTTTTTACGGCGACCAATCTCATTAAGATTAGCCAACAGCGCGGTATATGTATATTATAGTACACAAGACGATTTCGCAAGGGATATTGTAGCGTTAATCTATATATATATATATATATATATATATATATATATATATATATATATATATTATACATAAGTAGGCGGCTGCGTAATTTATTATTACCTTCTTCGTATTTGAAATTAAAATTTAGTTAATTTTTTGTGAAAGTCTGTTACTGTTTAAGTTGAAACTTAAAACACCAAATAAATGATGTAATCGGCTGAGTCGATCTAAAATATATCTGGTACTGAGATACCTAAACATGTATATATGTGTGTAGTTTTAGAAATTAGATTAATTTGATTTTTTTTATAGATAAAATTGTTTCATTTTCACTTACCTTATGTTTTAAATTAAATTTGTTGCAATATCCGTTTTCTCTTGAAATATTTATTAGCGTTCCTTAAAAGAACAAAGCAGCGAGTAAAAACTATAATAAAAATACAATTTCGGAAACCGGTGCGAAGCAAACGGGTCGCTAGCCTTATAAAAGCTTGCATTTAGTGAAGATTCAATTAGTATCCTGGGAACAATTATGTAGGAAATATCTTTTTTAAAGGTTTACTCATCTTTATATAATACCTAGTATAGTAAACTGCCTCGGTGGTGTAGTGGCTAGCATGTACGGCTGCACACCCGGAGGTCCTGGGTTCGAGTCCCGGGTCGGGCCAAGTTTAGTTATTAAGTCTTTCTGTATAGAAAGTCTCAGTAACAGCCCGGAGTTGGGAAGTTGGCGGTGTTTCACCCCCGTGCCTCGGAGAGCACGTAAAGCCGTCGGTCCTGCGCCTTAACTCTCACCGGTCGTGTCGAGTGGTCGTCCCACCGGAGTATGAGAGTGATAGGAATAGAGAGTGCACTTGTGTCTGCGCGTACACTTGAGCACTATAATATCTCCTGCGCAGTTGGCTAATCTCAATGAGATTGGCCGCCGTAGCCGGAATCGGCTAGGAGAACATCATCATCAGTATAGTATTATATAATCTGTGATAATACTATAAGCTTATTTACTGACTTCATCATGTGCATGTGTATTTTATTTAATCTAAAACTGCTTGAAATTTTAAAGAAGCATATAAAGTGGAAATACGAGCCAGACAGACAGACAGAGAGACATATAGGGGGTCTTGTATAAAGTAAAATACAATAATAAATAAATAAATGTTGGGACATTAACACACAGCGCTTCTAGTTCCATGGTAAGCTACGAGGCTTGTGTTATGGATACCGGATAGTTGATGTACTACACATATATAACTTTAAATACATACATATTATAAATATAAACACCCATGACTGGAGTACAAACATTCGTGCTCATTACACAAATGAATGCCGCCCACGGGACTCGAACCCGCGACCGCTGGAACAGCAAGTAGGGTCACTACCAACTGAGCTAAACGTATCGTCAAAATAATTGTACCGGAGATTGTGTATAGATTGTATAAACCTATTGTCTGTGTATAATATTCCAATGAATACCCACTCATCACAATAATACCCGTTTTTTAAGATAATTTAAATATTCTTAGTTATTATAAAAAATATATATATTTGTAGATCAGAGAATGTACAGATAAAAGTGCAGAGAAAGTGCTATCTCGCACAGTCAAAGTAATACCACTAATAGAGTTGGTTGAAGATAAAATGGATGTCGGCACAAAGGTTCATACGCGCTCAACTAGAATGCAAAATCAGTCAACCCATCAAGTAAGTTACATTTCGTCATTTAAAATTAGGATGTTAAAATTCATTACTTTTTAACAAAAAATATACATAGCTGTTTTATTTTTAAAGTTTTCGTGCTTAGGGATTTAAAAAAAATACATTACACGTGTTTTTATGAATATCTATTTATTAATAAAACTAGCGACTCATCCTCGCTCCGTTCGGATTCGCCTAGTTACGTTTTAATGTTTAGTATAGATATTAGTATAGGTTTCTCAGAGATGAGATAATATATTTTTTTCGCAGTAAAAAGTATCTTATACGTTGACCCGGATAACCATCTATCACGATACCAAATTTCATCAAAATTTGTTCAGTGGTTTTCTCGTGATGCGTTCCCAGACAGACAGACAGACAAAAATTCTAAAACCTATAGATTCGGCGTCTGAATCGCTAATAATGATTATTTCAATACAGTTTTCCCAAAAATATTTAATGTACTCAGAATTTTATTATGTGAATAGATTAATGATATCTTATCAAAATTGAAGATATCACGTAAAATACACTTAAAAACGAAAACTCGAATTGAGCAGGTACCTATTTCTTTAAAAAATGACAATGCAAGAATATAGGTACAAGTTTAAAATAATTATGGACTTTTTTAAAGTATAGTCGATGTATAAATAGCTAAAACACCATAAAAAGAAATTTTTAGAATTGTATATTAAAATAATCGACTATAATCATGCTAAAAAAGAAAAAAAATATTTCTATTTTTACTATGGAAAAGAAAAGGTATCTACTGAATTATTTTGTTTTTGCTTATTTATAAAATTTTACGTTAATACCAGATGACATTCTATAAGTAAAAATATTTCAACTATTTTTTACTTTATCGGTGAGTTTAAGAATACACTGAAGTGCTAAAAACTTAGAATATTTTTTTTAGTATATACTTAAATGTGGTTACTAAGTTAACATTCAAAGAAAATTTAAAACTATAAAAAAATTCAAAGTGTAAAAGAGAAGCGTTTAGACGAAGATAATTTAATTTTAAAATTAAAATTTCCACTACAATTTTCATATCTTAGATTCAAGAAATATCTCGTGTGGAAAAGCAGAGGGCCGAACATATATCCCGTGTAATGGCTTCTAAGTATTTGGAACGAATGGCGCATGACAAATATTTCCTTACGGCTATTTGCAAGGATGAAAGACTTAGATCTGCAAACAGATTGGGATCAAAGAAACTGCAAGAGTTAGCTCATAAAGCATTAGCTGATATTGAAAAGCGGCAAGTATGTACTAAGTTAGGAAAATTTTGGTTATTACGATAAATATGAAATCATTTTTTTTGCAACGTTTCTTTAAACTTTATAAACAACGTTTATCTCGGTGTTATTTTAATTAAAGTACTTAATTTTTTTTACATTTATATGTTTAGATCATAATAAATTTTATGATATATATTCTTCAGGAAAAGTAGAAAGAACAAAATGACTGATTCTTCTTAATTGCACTTTTCGTTAAATCGAACCAACGACCACGACGCGAAAATCTACGTAGGAATTAATAATAAGAACAGACAAATTCTTTCTTTTATAATTATTATTGGTATATGTTTTATTAATACAAATGGCAGGCTGTATTACGTGAACGCAGACCAATGTATGCTGCTCGTGAATCGGAAGCCGCAGCAAGAGCGCGACTATCAAAAGCGCGTAAACAAAGAATTGGAAACGTTCGACGTCAACATACAACAGATGCGCGTCGTTTAGTCAATGCCGCTCAAGAAATATATGAAAAACGTGACACAACGAAATGCCTAGAAGCAGCAGAGTTCGCGATGGAACAAATCGCAAGGATTCCAGCCAATATGCTACCAGCCAAAGACAAGTTTTTACAACAGTTGTATGACATCGTCGGAGAAGCTTTCTTAGATCAGGTCTAATTCATTATTTATTGCTTCACTAGCATTGCCCGCGGCTCCGCCCTCGTTCAGATGACCAAAAATCTAATTCTTAGGTTTTATATATTAGTATACTCTTACATTGCAGTTTTTGTATTTTTTCTCAGAAATGAGATATTTTCCCGCGGTAAAAAGTATCCTATATGTTGACCCAGATAACCAGCTATCATTATTCCTAATTTCATCAATACCCTCTAGTGGTTTTTCCGTGATGCGGTAACAAACAGACAAAAATTCTAAAAACTATAGATTCGGCCTCTGTATCGATATTAATGTATTATCGACAATAATGTGTCTATTTCAATAAAATTTTCCAAAACAATATTTAATGTACAGATTCGGCTTAGTTACAATGTTATTATATGTATAGATTTGTTTAAATGTAAAAAGCGTCAAGATTAAGCTTGGAAATTTTTAAGAACAAAGAGCTTCACACTTAATGATTCAAATGTATAATTTTGCCAACTTGAAAATTTTACCTGTAAATTTTGCCACTAATTTTATATTATTCGTAGAAACGTGTTAAGGAAGAAATGAGCGAAGCAGATCGCGAGAAAAGAGCCTTTATACTGCTGGGAATACCAATATCGCGTGAACCGAGTCGTGATTCAATTTTGCGTACGCGACCTCCGGCGCCGCCCCGTGATGCCAAGTGAGAATTTTGCTCAGAAAATATTTTACATTTTTGTCTTTTCAATATAATTTATTCTATATCCAATGAAATTTGAAAACGTAAAATTCTACCTCCAGAACTGAAATTATTGTATTTTATAAGATTTCCACGAACTATACTATATAAATCTGATATATTTAAAATTTCAGCATATTTTTTTTTATATAAAAGTAATCAAAAATTTTAAATGAAATTTTTTGTGTACAAAGTAGTGCATAGTTTATTTTTTTTAAATACGTTCAAAATATTGTTATAAAGTAAAGAGTTTTATGTCAAGTATAAAAATTGTGCTATTAAGTTCCGTGATAATAAACGTTTTTCAGGCGTCGTCTACGTACATTGGAGCGAGCATTGACTTTGAGCAACCGTGCATCGGAACGCTGTTACATTTTACACGAGCTTGGGCGTTTACACGTTGACACAAGACAAGCTCATAGAGCGCGATTTTATGCTGTGAAGTGCCAATCAGGTTCAATTTTATGTCACAACATTCTACAAATTACTTTTATATTTCGTTATAAGTAGAGGCTTGGTTTTAAAATGAGTTAATATTTGCATTAATGCATTATAGCGATAAGTAAATCATTGGGCACAATTATATTTTAATAGGTTTTTAAATACGTAAAGAGTGTGTATTATATTAAAAGATTAATTAAAGGAATGTATACTAAAGAAAAAAAAACGTGTATGTGCCAGCTCTGACGCACGAATGGAGTTTACTCCTACAAGAAACAGAATGTTAGATAATTTTAAATATTTAATTTTAATATTAAAATCCGCCATCTTTGGGAGTCTGCCATATTGGATTTACAATGACGTAAAACGTAATGCTTTTGAGTTAACGCTTTTATTAATTTTACTCCTCATTAAATTTATACCGGGGACCTTATAGGAAAATTGATTCTTATGGCGTAAACTTCAAAAATAATTTTATTCATAAGTATAATGTCATTATATTTATTATACTAAAAAAGTTATAAAAATCTGAACAGAAGCAAGATCGGCCAACCAGCGCATATGGCTACTAAACGCCACGTTTCTCTTGGCACGTTGTCACATATTACAGAACAATCGACCGGAGACACGAGCAACGTTGATTGAAGGAGCCGGACTTGCCAAATCGTTTGGATATTCTGATGTCGCTACTTTCTTTGATACGGTATATCTATATAGTATACAAAGTGTGACTCACTAGATGACGAACCTATTGATAATTGAGGCATATCCATACGTAGGTATATTAAACATATTACCAGAAAGAATAATAATAATATTTACTGATTAATTATTTTGAAAATATTTATTATAAATGATATTAAATATGGTTTTACCTAAATAAATATGGTATTTAGGTCAAAAATGTTTCGTGATAGCTAAAAAAGCTCCGTTGGAGCTTTAGATACTGAAACCTTCTCATTATTATAGAATATTTGCAACTTTACCTGCGTCACTCATATTTATATTACGTCTAATTCAATCAATTAAAATTTTCTTTATTCAAATATACTTAGACAAGCACTTTCTAATCATCACTTTGTACATTTTTAAAATCTAAATAAAATATATAAGTCCGTGAGTAATCTAACACTGTCTCGGAAGACAGTTCTGCTGAGAAGCGCCGGAGGGAAACTCAAAAGCTGCTCTTTTAAAATTCCTGCCACCTGCTTTATTGTCTGTTCTAATTAAACAACATTGGTTTGGTTGTGCATTGTGTTACCAATTGATGGAAAAATAGCGCTATAATTTCCACTGTTAAGTTTGTAACACATTTTTAACAGATTTTGATAATTAATAGATATAGAAGCAAACAAATATTTTTTTTGTATAGCAAAGGCTTTGTGTTCGAATTTCTCCTATACCAAAACATGAAACAACATAGTTCCTTATTGCCTCATCGAAAATCAACACAATCACTTAGTTACACGGTTTTCCTATAGATAACAATAAAACTGCCTACATCTCGTACGACCCTACTCAAGTTATCCTGTACCTATATGTGTAAATATGTTAACTAATTCGTAGGATTATGTATGTATGAACCCATAAATAAACATTGCATCTCACTCTCACACAATTCCGTAATAGTACGAAAATCACTCAAGTGTCTTTGAATTTATTTCTAACTAGCATTGCCCGCGGCTCCGCCCGCGTTCAAATGATCAAAAACCAAATTCTTAGTTTTTACATATTAGTATACTCTTACATTGCAGTTTTAGTATTTTTTCTCAGAAATGAGATATTTTTCCGCGGTAAAAAGTATCCTATATGTTGACCCGGATACCCAGCTATCACCATACCAAATTTCATCAAAATCCCTTCAGTGGTTTTTTGTGATGTGGTAACAGACAGACAGACAGACAAAAATTCTAAAAACTATAGATTCGGCCTCTGTGTCGATAATAATGTTTATTTCAATAAGATTTTCCAAAAAATATTTATTGTATAGATTCGGCTTAGTTACAATTTTATTATATGTATAAATTTTATATTTGTGCAATGGACTTTCAATATATAAATTATTTCCATCATGCGCGAATTTCGAACCTTTGTGCGAGTTCAACTTACAGTTCACTAGCTTTGTTTATTTAGACACTAATTATACACATCTTTGTAACTATGTGTATATTGTTTACGGCATGACTGTGACATACAGACGGACATAACGACATGAATAATATAAGTTAGCATTCCATTTAATTGGACTACCGAATCCTAAAAGTATAAATGTTCAAAGAAAATATAATATGTTTAAAGAATATAATACACTTAAAGAAAATCTAGTATTTCTTTAAAGAAGTAGTCTCAATACATTAAAACATCTATAAAATCATATCCTTTGTCAAATGACTTTCATATCCTATTGTTCAAATAAATATCTTAGTCAGTTTTATGCTAGCAATTTCAGTTCAAACGGAAGTAATAACAACATCAAGTACACACAGTATCTCATAAATTCTACTACATAAGTACACTTATTCGAAGCCAGATCTAAGATTACAACTAGAAATATCATAAAGCGTAGGCTTCAGCTTTATTGCTGTAGTAGTTTGCGTCATTTATGTCTTGATTTTAATAATACTTTCTTAGATTTACTTATTATTTATGTGTTTGAGACGTCTATAACCTCAGTCTCTCCCGTGACCATGGATGCTGTAAAGCATTCGAAACGTCGGGAACCAAAAATCAAAAGAAATCCGCGAAATAATCCTAGTTTTATTTAAAATGATTTTATTTAAAACTAGCGACTTATTCTTGCTTCACTTGGTTTGATGGATGCTTTATGTGGGTTTCGTACTTATATTTGTATTTAAATATTATATGCAGGTTACCTACATTTTGGCGTTTTTTTACTAAGAACACTAGCTATTATTACATTTCGTCCAAATCCGTCTTACCATTACAGCTTGAAAGAGTAGGACATATACAGCACATACGATGCAATACGCACATGCACACACACAAACTTTAGAATGTATGATAGTAGTCAGACTAGTTTTTGACCAAGACTTCGCACATGGCCTTTATACACTCTAATATTATAAATTCAAGCCGTAAATATATACCTATACTAACATACACATGTTTATCCCTTCTTTGTTAAAAAACCTTTTTACTGGAGATTACCCCTATTCTTCAAACGATGCAAGTATTAAATTATGTTTATTTAGATGTAAGAAGAATCCAAGCAGAAATTTTGACATACTAACGAAAGTTTCACAGAACATTGTATCTATAATATTTTTGTATAGGAAACATTTGATATCCTAGTTTGAATTATGATTTATGGCTATGATAACCAAGGTCGAGGTATAATTAATAATTAATTATTAATCGTCCCTAGTTATTTATATATAATATCTATACAGATAAATAAAATTGAAGGGTCTTTTTGTAATGTCAAAATAACAGCTTTTTACTAAATGTATATGGAACTATATACGGTATTTATAAGGAAAACACAATTAAAAAAAATCTGTCTGTTTGTTCCGGCTAATATCAGAAACGGCTGAGCCGATTTTGGCGGGACTTTCACGGGCAGGTAGTTGATGTTATAAGGAGTAACTTGGGCTACTTTTATTTCAGTAAAAGAATTAGGGTTCCGCTCAAAAAAATTAAAATGACCTAGTGACGAACCCGCTAGTTTATTATATTATACAAATTCTACTGGAAATTAAAAGTAACTTACCGCAATCCCAGTTGACCGAGGATTAGGAAGGCTGGCTGAAGAAAAAGATGTTTACGATATATTTCTAATTAGGTATAACAATTAAGACGAATAATTTATATTTTCCATAGTGTGTCAATATATCACTTGAAGGCGAGGCCGGGTCCGTAGACTCAATGCTTGTGAAGCGCGAGAAGGCGATGGTTAGCCTAATGCAGGATGACGATATGCGAAAAGCTGCAGAATACTTATTCAGAAGAATGTCTGTCTTACCAGCTTCCAGGTTACATATTCCTATAATTTCACATTTATTTAGATGATCGTAGTTGTATGGTACAGTATACTAGATCATGATTCCAATTATTTAGTCTAATTTTTTTTTACCATTCATCCATCCATCAGCCTTAAAGGAAGATCAAACCATCGCTGTTGGACATATGACTCCCTCAAATATTTTTGTACTAACCGGTCTTGCATACAGTGGACATCTGTGACATCTATTATTCATTCGGTGACCGGAGCTGTTTCAGCTTGGAAGTAGCGCGGACTATGTCAGCCGATTTTCCGATTTGATCTCACAGGAAAACTCCATGAATTGCCATCTTCAATGCTTTTTGGGTCTTCTTGAACTTTCGTAAGAATTCTACAGTCAGTGGACACATTTCAGTTCCATAAGCCAATTGACCACTAACATTGATCGGACACTTGGCTTCAGACACTATTAATAATAATTATATACGCATAATATTCCTTTATAATATAATACCTATATGTATAATGTATATATTTACGTAAAAACGTATTAATTTTAATTAGTTTTAATTTTTTGAAATAATAAATTATTCTTAATATTTATATTTAATAGAATGGAAAATATATATATAAAATATTTTAGTATTTCGAATATAATATTGTTATTTGGTTATTTGTTGCAGGCGTTTCTCAGTAATGCCGGGCACTCGAGCGGACGAAAGCGCGCCCGCCACCGGTCACCGCGTGTCGATCATACCGCGAGTGCAACAGCCCGTACGAGTGGTGCACAAATCACGACATCCACTCGGATTTCAAGATTTTGATATTTAGCTATGAATTTTTAACAAATTATTCAATATATATTACATACATTTAAAAATTAATAATAATTTCTATGATAAATACCCGAAATGATCAAAGTAAGATAGTAGCCTTCATCAAGGTTCATTTAAGGCCTCTTAAAGGAAGGCTATGCATTCGCAAACCCTTACAGTATGTTGCAGGTGTCTATGGGTAACGATAACTTGCCATCAGGTGGGTCGCCTGCTCGGTTACCATTTTTTTTTAACATTGGGAAATGCATTTACGCACGAGGTTTGGGACTCACCGGCAAAGCCAGTACTTCCCACTAAAACCCAACAAAACCTTCCCCCGTCTTAATGGGGCGTCGCAGAGTCGCTTACGCATTCAACTACGACGCCCCGACGGCAGGTCTGCCGAGGCAGACCACAACGACCATGGGGTTGCTCCAAGGTCCACTCTGCTATCAGAGAAGTACCAGGAGCAACCCGCATGGTACACCACCCTCCGAAGAGGGCCACCTCCCACCGCCCACCGAAGTGGGCCACCTCCCTGTGCGTTTCTTGGCTTCGCGCTCGGCTGTATTGCCGGGCACTACTGAGCCCCCCCACCACGACAAGGTGTACGCACGTTGGGGGGGATCTGCTCGGTTACCATGCTTAGCCATAAAAAAACATTTTTCTTTGATTATACGTTTGTAAAAATGTTTTCTTAATTAAAAAGAGTAAAAGTTTTAAATTATTTAGAAAGACGTATTTTACCATTATAACAAAACAAAATGCAAACTTCTGTAATATTTTGATACAACGGTAGCTACCGCCTATACCTAGACCTTCATGACACTTAAACATAGAATATATTCGTAAAATATTTTTTTAAGGACTTGAGCAATGTTAAACTAATTAGTAGTTGTTTTTTTTATAAATGTAAACTTAATAAATCTTAGATTTTATAGAATTTGTATTTTCATAAGTATATTATTTATTAATAATAAATATCTATCACCTTAGATAATAGCTGATTTGATAAGATAAAGAGTAGAAAGAACTTACTTTACGATACAATATAGATAGAACTTTAAGCAAATGAGATGCAGAGATCACTGTGTCTACATATTAACGGTGCGTTTCGAAAACGTAATAAACTGTGGTCAGAACTCCAACAACAGTGGCAGTTTGGAGTAATTTGGGAATATTAACAAGCTTGCAAACGATTTCCATGCTTCTACATTTTACTTTGCATTACAGTGGAGTGGATTGAAGTGGAAAGCAAATTTATAATGGACATTTTGTGTCGAGTCGAGTGTAACATTGACGATATTATTTATCCAAATTATTTGATAAAACAAATTATTCTCATAACATTATTATTTTAATTGCATTTTATAATATACTAGCACTGCCCGTGGCGCCGCCCGCGTTCTGATGACCAAAAACTAAATTCTTAGGTTTTACATATTATTAGTATACTCTTACATTGCAGTTTTAATATATTTTTTCTCAGAAATGAGACATTTTCCCACCGTAAAAGTATCTTATATGTTGACCCGGATAACCAGCTATCACCATACCAAATTTCATCAAAATACCACCAGTGGTTTTTCTGTGATGCGGTAACAGACAGACAAACTGACAGACAGACAGCCAAAAATTCTAAAAACTATAGATTCCGCCTCTGTATCGATAATAATGTTTATTTCAATAAGATTTTCGAAAAAATATTTAATGTACAGATTCGGCTTATTTACAATTTTATTATACCTATAGATTTTGGCTGTGTGTATAACTTTAAAGATCGAAGGATCAATCTAAGCTCAGGATAGTTATTTGCTATTACACTCATACCCGGGTGTTACTAGCGTGTTATAATATAAAAATATACGTCGTACCCATAGACATAGAGAGTGGACTAAGTGTTTCTTTGCCGGCCGTCAGCCAAAAATGGTGAAAAGGCGCTATAGTACAGGAGCCCAAGAGGGGATTTTGGGGTTTACTCAAGCGCGGCAGGTTAGCAAGAGGGGGAATACCTTGTACTCTGTTGAGTACCTATACCATATATATAAATCCTCCGTATAAGGTCGTGTATCTAGGGCATCTAATCAAATATAAAAAAAATATATCATAAGTTAGAAGTGCTTGAAACCATCAGATCATGTGTGGTGGGCTAATTAAATGCTGAAAAGTGCGCAAATGAATAATCTGCCGATTTAAACAAGCCATAGAGGCAAAAATATTCGATAAACTTTATGAACGATTTTTTAAAAGTTGTGTTTTTCATAAAATTACCGTATATAATTTCAAATACATTTATTTAAAAACTTTGACATTAGAAACAGACACTTCAATTTTATTTACCTGTATAGATAAATAATATAACTTAAAAATTATGTACAAATATACATACATATGAAAATATTTACATCGAAATACATGAATCCTCAATGTAAATAGCTCCGTAACAGTGTCTGTGAATAAACTTAGACTAAAGAGCAAAAAAAAAAACATCAAAATGTTTGTTCCGCTTGGGGCACTACAAAGCACTGGCTTCGTCAAAACCGCACACTATTTCCATGCCTGAGGATGTAAGGGTCCGTTATTGCTGCCTGTATCGAATATTCCTTTTGTGTGAAACCATAGGCTAGAAACTATTGACATTTTCCAACCCTATTGTTACACACGCCCGTACGAAAAGGCTCTGAGTAAATATCGACGCATATATGGTAGATTTTAATGAAATGCCTTGTTAGAAAAATGAGTGCACAATTTTAATAGATTTTAAGAAATAACATATTGTAAAGTAACATTTTATATTGCTTCTTTATATTTATCTATCTTTCTTATCTATACATATATATCTATTATACATATTATAAAATTCTAACTAAGCCAAATCTGTACATTAAATATTTTTTGGAAAATATTATTGAAATAGACATTATTATCGATACAGAGGGCGAATGTATAGTTTTTAGAATTTTTGTCTGTCGATTTTTTTGTAAAAAAGGTTTTAACGGCAAAATCTGAAAAAATTGTTTGCCTTAAAGGCGTATATAGGAATTTTGTGTGAATTTAAAGTTTTTTTTGCGTATGTAACGAGATTTCCATAATTATTTGTTTAATGAAAAGGTTATTTCAACGGAGATCCTACAACAATTTAAAAAAAAAAACTACTCTAGGATGGAATAAATAAAAAAAACATTTCATATTGCTTTACAAACACAGAATCTTGTTCATATTGTCTTTTTGTACTTTCCCCCTCTGTTTCTTATTAACTTTATTGTATCGCAATCTTTATTATTGTCAATTTCAAATTTACGGCATTCCCGCATACCATCTAAAACTTAGATAATAAAAACGATTGAGTAAGTACGTAAAATATAAGTAGGCTCTAAAGTTTTATAGCTGTAGATAGATATCTTGAATTTTAATGATTAAACTTATTAATTACAATTACTTAATTTGTATAGAAATATTATACCTTGCTAGAATTAGAGGGCTATTTTGTATGAGGACGAGAGTCGAGTTAATTGTTATAATAATATAATATGTAACATCCGGAGTAAAAATCTTAGATTAGTCAAAATGAAAATAAATGAAAAAAATTGTATTGATTTTCCAGTATGTTTAATTTATGTAGTTTAAATATTGACCATTACTCTTGCTTCATATTAAAATATGTAGAAATACTCGAACCATTTAAAAATTTAATAATATTTTTAATTTAGAACAAAATAACGAAACCTTAATTAAAAAAATTACGTTCTATAATATAAATAGCTCATAGAAATATAAATTATATTGTAATTACTAATATAACGACTACTAAACATAACGTTTGAAAATATCTCTACCATAAAGTTTTTGGTTTTTTTAGTAAAATTAGCTATTGTTAGATATCCGTTCAGTAATAGTAATTCTTTTAGAATTCGTAGTTGCTATATTTACAAAGCAACCCAGGGCTGGAAAGGTTTCACCCTCGTTCACGTAACGCAGTTGGTGCTGCGCTTTAAATTATAACCGTTCGTGTTGAAGTATCACCCCATCAGATTTTGGAAGTGAAAGGAATAGAGACAGCAATCACTTGTATTTACGCGTATACTTATCAACTATAATATCTCCTGCACAATTGGCCTCAGGAAGATTCCGTCGTGGTAGAAATCGGTCAGGAGAAACTTGTCAGAGAAGCCAATGATACCTATAATTTGTATTAACCATCGTAACCTTCTACATTTGGTTAAAAATAAAGCTTAGTTTTAAGCCGGAAGTCGTAGTCAACTGTATTTCACACATTATCGCGTATTAAATTGAGTGTTAATCAGACTACGACAGTTAAAGATATATGTACAATTGTACATATATAAGCTCGCATTGTATATTAAACGATAAATCAAGCAGATATCAATGACGTAACATGAGATATACTCTAAAGTTAGCCGATACAGAAATAATAGCTGACACCTAGTTCAAGTTAAAGGGATAAAACGATGATAAGGGATTACTACGACGACCAGTACTTTAAGAGATATGTAAAAATCCCACTGTTATTTAACGTTAGGAAAGGCATTTATGAACTGCATTTGCAGTCTGCATGCACGCCTTTATTAGATAAATATTTAAACTAGTCAGATCTTCCAGGGCTGGGAAAACGAGTGAAGCGAGTTCAAATCCCGGGTCTCGCACCTCTGAAATTTCATGTGCGAATCATTTCCAACATGATTACCACTTGTCTTAACGGAGAAGGAAAATATCGTGAGGAAACCTGCATGTCTGAGAGAACCTAGCAAGTTTTCGAAAGACATGTGAAGTCCGCCAACCCGCACTTGGCTAGCGTGGTGGACTATGGCCTGATCCCCCTATTGAAGGGATTGCCCAGCAGTGGGACGTTAAAAAAGGCTGAATACAGTACATCTTCTTTGAAATCTGTGATACATTATGTAAAAAATACATCGGATCGTCGTCTATACCTACTATTTTCCTCATTTTTGAAAACGGTTAAAAATTCCATTCCATTTTATTTTACATTTCATA